AAATACAATCAAGTGACCCGATAAGAGCAGAGGATAAACATCCATCATCCTCTATTGCTAAACATATAATTGATACAGGTCACAAGATTGATCTAAATTCAGCTTTTGTAGTGCTGTATAAAAGTGTAAAAGGGCGTATACTAAGGTTCATTGAAGCCTTAGCCATACGAAAATTCAAACCCCCTTTATGTGTTCAAAAACAGTTTGTTCTTACCTTAAACCTACCCTGGTAATATTGACTTATTATCCAGAGTGATTAGGTTTCAAATTGTGTTCACATTATTATTATTATTACTTTCATCATTATCCTTATCTCCTCTTACCCCGTTTCCTGTCTAGTTGACCTTTTATTTTTATATATAAATGCTCTTAACAAGTATACGTGTGACCAGATTGTTCAAAATGTATTGCGCTAATATATCACATAGTTCTGATAATCTTCGTCTTCTAATATCATTATCGAAATTTATCAAAGGGACTAATTGTTTTAAATTATCTGTCAATTAAAAAAGTGTAAATAAAAACGACTTCATTAGCAATACTTATATTGTATGAAAGTGAAATCTGTTAAGTCATTTACTTAATACTTTCTTATAGAAAATGAATACTATCATGAGAAGAATCTAAAATAAATTATACATGTCAACTAAGAAAGATCACTGAATTTACCTAATTTTATTATGGATTATTTTTTGTTGAATCAGAATAGCTTTTATCACGTTACTTTACTTCTCATCATATTAAGCTGAACTAAAGAAAAACATATAATTGTTCTACAAATAAATTTTCACTTTATCATTGTTCTTTAGCATCTGAACAGACGTCAAAGTTATTCAAAGAATTTAGATCTAAATGAAACAACTGAAGTAGATGTTTAAAACAATTAGTCCCTTTGATAAATCTCGATAATGCAATGAGAAGACGAAGTTTATAAGAATTATGTGATAGATTTGAGCAATACATTTCGAACAATCTGATCACACATATACTTCTTATGACATTCTTATATGAAAATCAAAAGGTCAACTAGACAAGTTAAAGGTAAGCCATAACAAAGAAGAATAAAGTACACAAAAAATCAGTATTACCATGATAGGTTAGGGGAAGAACAAATTGTTTTCAACACATATAGTAGGTTTCAATTTCCGTATAGCTAAGGCTTCAATAAACCTTAGTATACATCCTTGAAGGCTTTTGTATTACACTACAAATGCTGATTTGATGTCAACCTTATGACCAGCCTCAACCAAATGTTTCTCAATGGAGGATGATGTTTGTCTATCCTATGGTCTTATTTGGTCGTTGGAATCCATTTGTTTCTGCAGCCATTTGGGTATGTGTTCCGTCACACTTAATTGCAGAGAACGATTGCTCTGAATGGTAAAGTAATATAAACTCGCTTAACAAGTATATGTGTCATTAGATTGTTCGAAATGTATTGCGCAAATATGTCACGTAATTCTCATTACATTATCGAAATTAAAGTAGATCTAGTGGAATCAAGAGGTAACAATAATATATTAATTAATGTAAAACATTTAACCCTTTATACTGAGTTAAGCATTAATTACTTTTTTAAACAATCTTTTTGTTTTATGACATAGTAATAGATTATCTGTAAAAGATACTTAATGCCTTCCAGTTGAATAAAATTTCTGAACTCTTATATATTTTATAGAAATCTTTAACATATATATGCTCATTTTTTGGTATTTTGGAGTAGATTCCATTATTTTTTAGTAAACTAACTGTAAATATACGATGAGAATTGTAAACTGAACAATTAAACTAATATTTGGTTAGTTTTACTGAATATCTGTGTGAATGATCGTAAAAAGGCAAACTTTTTATCTTAATTCAAAATCATAATAAATATAGTCATCCCACTTACATAATCATTCTATTAGTTTAACAAAAGCAGCGTTAAAGGACCGAGATTTTGATGAATCAAATGTTGGTATAATTCATGACAGTATGTTCTCACTGAATAACAGTCGTTTAAATCTATATTTAGTAAGAGCATTTATTTAGTTTTCTTTTATACATGTAGAGAGAATACTTATTTACTTTTTTAAAGATTGGTTAATTATAAAAGCATTAGTTAACGGAAGGATTTCGTTTAGATGAATTCATCTTTAAAGCTGTAGGATTACGTAGAAATATGAAATTATGAGACTATCAAAAATCATAGAGTACTGAATAGATATTTTGTCCTAGTTTTTTGTTCTAGATTTCATTCTACATTTTTCAAGACCTTTTTTTTCACAGTGATGTGATATCAGTTCATGACGCTTTGGCTCTGGGCCACTGAAGTGGCATGAAAAGACCAACATTTCCCACTCCGGTCGACTTACAATAAAGCACGGCAATCAATAAATACCGTTGGTGAGTAGTTGTACGATAACTCAGGTAGCTGAACTTTATCAGTCACTAATAATACAGCCTCAAAAATCTCTATAGGAGGATATAAAAGATTGCATCATAAAATGGATTCGAGGTTACGTACTAATCAAGGGGTAAGGAAGAAAATAGTTTATGAGTCAGCTGATAGTCCAGTTGACAGATATAAAGAAAAACGACAAGAAAAGGTCATGATAATGAACTGAATAACAATCAAGAAAACTTGCATAAGGTAATGATGATTTCTATAGACAAAAAGATGAAGTTGCAATGGGCTCTCCATTGGATTCTCTCTTGGCTGATTGTTTCATGGCCAATCTAGAAAACCCGGTACTTCGACCAATAATTGAGAGATTTCATTTATGTAAAAAATATATGGATGATACTTTCATTATCTGTGATGGAGACATGGACCTTAATGAAATTTTGAATAGTTTTACTAATTGTCACCCGTCAATTCAATTTACCTCTGAAGCAGAGGCGAACAATGATAATAGACATACATTTTCCAGATAACTATATATACAACTGTACAGCTGAAGGAAATGATTTCGTCGAAAAGAAAATTTTTTTCACTGAATTCTCTTTTTCTTATTCAATGACACTATGGGTTATTTTAATTATAGTAATTAACTTGATAGAAGCATTTTAATTATTACATAATTATCAGTATGGAGATTTGTGAAGATTGCAATATTTTCACAGTTGAATTCACGAGTCCATGTAAGCTAGGCCACCATTGAAAGCTTAGAAGTACTGGATGGCCATTTCGTCTCAGTATGAAACTCCTCAGTAGTTCCAATCCGTGATACCTCACACGGGACTCGAATCCAAGACCTTCGGTCTCGCGCGCGAACATCCAATTTTTATACCACCAAGTCGACATCCAATGGTGTTAATGTGTAACTTTAATGTAGTGTTGCACAAAATCATGAGTCGATTGAACGTATTCATCCTAAAAGAGAAATCAAAAATTAAACAGCATCTATAATTGCCAAGGATTATTAATGCAAAATATTATGATTGTAAGAATAAATGGGAACGTATATGTAAATATTCCATGACAAGCAAAATATGATCAAGTTAAAGAGACAAGTCTAACAACCTATATTTTATACAGACCACTCTAATTTTAAATTGCAAATGACTTAGTCTTTTACAGTATTGAATAGGATAAAACTGAAACATCTGGAAATACTTGACTACATGAACGTAACGACCTGAAATTATCAAAACGATCACTTACTTACTTACGCCTGTTACTCCCAATAAAGCATAGGCCGCTGACCAACATTCTACAACCTACTCTGTTCTGGGTATTCCTTTCTAGTTTTATTCAATTGTTGTTTATTCTTCTCACGTCTGTCTCCATTTCTCAGCGTAATGTGTTATTTGGTCTTCCTCTTTTCCTTTGGCCTTGAGGATTTCATGTGAGGGCTTGCCTTGTGACGTAGTTAGGTTATTTCCTCAATGTGTGTCCTATCCACTTCCAGCGCTTCTTCCTGATTTCTTCCACCACTGGGATCTGGTTTGAGATAAGCGAAAATTATCTACCAGAAATTACACTGTATTTATTCACTCAAACATATTATGAATTTATGGGACTATCATTGTTATTTTTATTAGAGAATTGAACCTCAAATCTGTGTAATTTTTTTTAAAAAAAAGAAAATTATTTATTACAATAATTAATTAAATACATTTTAACTAATCAATCATGATCATAATACCGAAGAAAAAAAAACTGGAATTTTTTTAAAAACCTAAATTGCCAAATACTTCTTAACTATTTTATTGTACCATGTTAACTAAATAATTGGCAAGTCATTTATAGTATCTAATAAATCAACAATGAATCATTTCATTAGTAGTTATGTTTTTATTTTAACAAATTTTTAAACTGCAATGTAAGCGGATTTTCTCAATTATTGATTATATAAGAAGTTATTTGTGTCTGAATTTACAAATAAAACAAAACGAATTAGACTTTGAACGACATATTTGTTGGTACATAATCTAATTGTTATGTATCACGTTTTCATCAAAATATTGTTGTTAAGAAATGGTACTTTGAGATACATTTTTATTGATAAAATATTGTGATTATCTTTAGAAGCGTAGTTATATATTGAGAATAATTTGAAATATATACATATGTACTAACATTTTTTTTATATCTAATCAATTACATGAAATAATTTGTCTACCTACTTAGCTGCCTCGATTACTTACTCGTCAGCTTTTGTTGTATGTATCATGGGTATAAGCTAACAAACTTAACACAAATACAATAAACATATTGCTTATTTTAAATGATTAAAGTGTAGACGATTACATATCGACGAAATTCTTATCTAATCAGATATTGCATGTGTAAATGAATTAATTTACACGTATATATATAGAAATATATGCATATAAACGATTCGATTAATTTAACTAGTCGATTGAAGAATTGTTTCCATTTTAGTTATTTATATTAACTCACTTTCGTCGTCGAGGTCGTTCAAGAAAAGTAAGTCAATTTAAATTACAAAGAAGAATAGACAAAGAGGATAGTTGTCATTTGTTTTTCCCAAATATCATTATAAAAATTAATTATGTCAACCGAAACGAGATTGAGTTCAATGGAAGAGTTTATTAGAGCATTTTTAGAAATGGATGCAGATAACAATGAAATGATTGATAAACAAGAATTAATTAAATACTGTCAAAAAAATCGTTTGGATATGAGATTGATCGATGTAAGTATTCCCTTCTACATGTTTCTTAAGATTTTATTTTGCTTTATATTTTAATGTTATTCGTTGTTGAAATAACAAAATAGCTTTGCAGTTCAATATGAGTATTTTATCAATGTTATATTCCTTGAGTTAAATGGTTAAATTGTGAAATGTTCATTGTCTTTTTCCAAATCAAACTCACTAATAATAAGTATAAGATAAAGTGAACAGTTAGCTGAATAATAATAATCACTATTATTAATAAACATATGTTCATCAGTGATTAATTTGGTGGGGTGATTTCTGAAGTTCCGATGAAAAGCCTTGACCGGTAAAGTTTATCCATGTCAAGTGTGAGGTAGTTACATACCAATGGCGTTGGAAAGTAGTTGAGCTATACTACAAATTATTTGATGTTAGAGATGTATGCCGGCCTAATTAACTTAAAGTTGGGCACTCTCCCCAAGGCTTGAAGGTACTGGTTACGATCTCCTGTGGCGAGATCGTGGGTGAGCAATGTGTACGAGCCCTATACTAGGGTAAATAGCTGCTCAATACTTTTTGATTTTCATTGGTTTTTTAACTATGATATGTCCATAATGTAAATTAGTAGGCTCAGTAATTGCTTGTAGGAAATATCAGGAGCTGACAAAGAATTGTGGTATGATTATTGATCATGTCAGAGGAAAACATAACCTAAATAAACGTTCTCAAATCGTAACATGCAATCACATCCTCTTAACAACATGACAAGCTTTTAGCCAACAGTATACAAATTCCAATGGTTCAACTCTTTTCAATGTTCTCATTGATTTTGTTATCGGGACAGTTAATAAAAACATTGAAAATCAATCATCAACCAGCTTAAAGTACGCAATGCCATAAATATAATCACTATTGCCTCCGTAAATACTAGAAGTGTTCATTACCGGCTATATTCTACTTGACTTGAGTATTTTAGAAAAAAATAATTTTCGTAGATTCGCATTATAGATTAAAATAGTTTCCACTTAAAATTATCATGTGCTCGGTTCGCTTTCACCCACTCACGACCCAATCGTTCTATAACTAGAAAGTTATATACTTAGGGTAAATCTTTCAACATTATTCATTTTCTGATGCTAAATCAATGAGTTAGTAGGTATTTATATCAAAATTGAACATAACAGTCTGAAATAAATTGAGCATTACTTCAAAAGTCAATAGCCTCGCGCGTGAACACTTAACCTCTAGACCACCGAGTCAGCATCCAACGGTGTTAATGTCTAACTTCAACCAATCACGGCCGTCCAGTGCTTCCAGGTTTTCCATGGTGGCCTAACATCAATCGGTTGATGACCTCAATCAAAAGATTATTTTTGTATTATTATTATGGAAATATAGTGTTCATGAGGAAATTGTCATAAATATCATTTACGATATTATTGATTACCTAGTGAAAACAGGAAAATGTAAGAATCGATCGATCCATAAACAATTTCTATAAGTCAAACATGATTATTCACCTATATATAACTGAAGCTCTATAGATTTCCATTGAAAATAAATCAAAAACTTATTGTAATTTCATACAAATTACACTGTATAGTGGTATTTATTAATGCAATAACAGTACTCATATTTTTAGTAATTTTTCATTATGAACAATAAGCCAATTATAATTCCATTCGATTTTAATAACAGTTGAAGATGATTGTTTTGGAGAATCTGTTGAGGCAATTAATGACCTGGAATCAAAATGCGTATTCAACCCATTTATTTTGTTGGGTAGAAAACGTCATTTATTACAGTTAATGTTGGTTAATTTAATTAACAATGTCTCTAATTTGAATTTTATTCACATTTTTCTGTGAATTTCATATCAACAATGATGTTCATTAGTCTAGATTAGATATATTAAAAGAAATATCTAGTTTGGAACTACGTACTGATTTATTATCAATGCAATTTTTGTCTAGTTTCTAGTGATAGTCAAATTCTACTGTGATCACAAATCTTTGTGATTTTAAGCTCTTAAATGATGATGTAAACCAAATCTCTAAATCTATGTTTCACGTTAGTTGACACAACCACTACTACATTTCTACAATATTGGAGAAATCATCAGTTCCCCAAAGATTACAGATACAACTTCGTTCCAAACAATAGAGTATGATTTCGTAAGTGGAATACCATCATTTACAGTAAAATGTACTTTAATATAAATTAGTAGTACATTATTATATTTAATACAAACAATCAGAATAGAAAATTAAAAAATAAACATATATTAGAGAATAACCCAGAAAGATACCTTTTTTCAAGCAAATTAAATTATACTATTGGTGACAAATATAAATGACTATTAAACTATTTATAATATTCTTCTTTATCTATGATATCTAATTAGGAGTATGTTTATTTTTTACTTTAACTTTCATTTACCTTTTTTTAAAATTTTTCTTAGCCATGGATAGCGAGGTTTGATACTGATAAAGATAATAAAATCAGTATAGAAGAGTTCTGCCGTGGATTCGGTTTAAAAGTATCAGAAATGTAAGCATTAAAATTATTGAATTATTTTGTAAAACAAAAAACAAATTCGAATCAACAGCAGTGATAAAATATAGTAATTTAAATAAATTTCTGATGTAATAATTATTGAACAATGATAATTGAAGATGGAAAGGATGTTTTACTTGCTGAATAAATACTTAAGATATTATTATATGAGACAATAATCATAACTGATAGTCATGTTTTGATATCGTTAACTAATGAGTCAAAATAGCCACTAGCTTGTGTAATTACGTAAAGTTCAATTCATTTGTATTGGTTATTTGAATCTTTTCACTGACGTTTAGGAATGTAATTGATCAGTCACTTTTTGTTTTATGTGTATCCTGTTCGAATCGCCTCGATATTGCAAGTAAGTCATAACCATTCTAAGCGTAAATGGATGGTGGTCAGCGACGGAAACGAACGTTACTAGGTTGGAGTCCTGGAGTAAAGATTGACTCTGCAATGCAGGTATATCCAGATGACGAGTCCTACATAACATAAAATGCGCATTCTGAATTTCATTACTGACCACAATCCATCTGCTCCTCAAAGTCCTGTGATCTACTGGCAATATCGTGGCAATCCGCGCAGGATATATATATCCCAAAAGAGACTGATGGATTCCGGTCCTAAACATCAGTGAGAGGATCCAGACAACCAATACAAACAAACTTTATTTTAAAAGTTTGAAAATAAAATACTAACATATAGGCAGTGTTTACTGATATTATTGTGTCATCGAAAAACGATATATTTATTACGTATTTATTTAATAGCAAGTTATTACTTTATAAAGATGAACTAAGGAATAAATAACTTTAGTCGCATTAGAATTTAAGGGTCAAAGTAGCCACATTTTGTGCACATTCGAACATAAGGCATGATTTTTGAAAAAATATACGTGAATTTGGTTCTCTGTCTGCTGAACAATTTTTAACTTACTGTTTGTTTCGAATTATATTCTATTCCGTTCATCCGACGATTTTCTCTTACATTGTATACAATATCCTATCTATTAAGCCTGCTTATTCAATTCTTGATTCTACACTGTCTGATGAAAAGTGAGTCAACAGTGTTTAAGAGATTGATCATTACGAAGATATCTCGGACTAGCGCGTCTATGGGGTTGAATGAGGTCAAAAGGATAATTTTCCTAAAGGTATTGTGGAACTTTTTGTAAGTATCATCAGCTAACAACTTCTGACGTTGAATATTGTAAACTTGAGATCGATAATCTTATATGAATAATCAACCTGTTGTGTTCTGAGCATAATCTTACTTCTTGTGAATAAATTTGCAAATATACCATACTGATGAATTTTCACCTATAGGCTACTTTACATTACGAAATAATCAATCTTTCAGGTCACACTGTTTTGCTGAATACTTTGGGAATTCCTGTCCTGTTAATACAAACAGAACAACGATTTTCTGAGAATATTGCTCTTCCTCTATGTAAGTTTATAGTGAAAACGAACCATTTGAGACCCATAATCTAAACTGATTAAGAACAATCCACGTCATCTATTGTTACAATCAGAAAAGTTAACACTGAACTTTACCGATAAAATTTCTCAGACATTTGAATTAATTCGCTAAAATGGTAAACTGTAATTAGATCAATAGATTTAGTATTTTAACTTTGTTGATGATTATTCAAAAAAGAAATCTACTGTTTACTTTTTTCTACTTTAGTCGACGTGAAAAAGAAGAATTAAAAAAAGAAAAAGATGGCAAGGTTTCTAAACTTCCACCAAATGTTGAAATTATTGCAGCAACCATGTCAAAAACAAAACAATATGATATATGTTATCAATTTAAAGAATATATTGATAATAGTAGTCGAACAAATAATGATATAAAAGAGGTGGCAAATAAAATGAAAACATTATTGGATAATACTTATGGTCGTGTATGGCAAGTTGTTATATTAACTGGTTCATATTGGATGAATTTTTCCCATGAACCATTTTTATCAATACAATTCAAGTATAATAATTATGTCTGTTTAGCATGGAGAACACCATCTCAGTAATAACTATATTAATAAAAATACAACTGACCATGGATTCATAAAACAATATCATAACAGTATGTAGATGGACATTTTAAAACTTTAAGAGAAATGAGGGATTTTCAAATAATTTTGAATTTGTTAAACATTTCATACCCATTAGTTTGTTTTCGCTAATTTAAACATACACTACTCTGTAATAACAAAAAACATTCATCAGTAAATGGGTTCAATTATTTTTTTTCAGTTTTGCAATGAATAAAATTTAAGATTTTTTGAAAGAAAGATGAAGAACGTATGGATTTTAAGTGTTGAATATCTTGGTCACGTTATTTTATTCAACTTGATAGGATTAATCTATTAAAATATTTATAAGGTTAAAGACGTTTAGGATATTACTTACTTACTTATGCCTGTTACTCTCAGTGGAGCGAAAGCTGCCAACCAGCATTCTCCAAGCCATTTTGTCCTGGGTTTTTTTTTAGCTCTATCCAATTGTTGTTCATTCTTCTCATATCTGTCTCCATTTCTCAGCGTAATGTGTTCTTTGGTCTTCTTCTCCTTTGGGATTGAGCGTGGAGCCCCTCTGGGGTTCATGTTGATCCTAAGCCCGGATAAAGGAGGAGGGCTGGGCACGGGGTTAGCGACCCCATCCTGTAAAAAAAGAACTCGACAAAAAAACGCTAAAAGCGTTTAAGATATAATATTAGTTATTTGTTGTGAGTGATTAGTCCTTAAAGTGAGCAGAAGTAAAACATTTACGGCTTTTTTGACGAATAAATCTACGGTTAACTTAAATTTTTATAACTAACAGACAAACTGTTTATACGGAAAACTAACTTAATACTATAATTTCACCAAAGACAATTGTGAAGATAATTTTCACCACGAAGTGAGACTTAATAAGGGAATACTGAAATCTAGGTAGCAATAGATAATTATTTCATCTCAATACGTAATTCACTAATTGATATCCATTCATGACTTTACTAAGGATTAAATCCAACACTATCATATAAATCAGCGAACACGTATTTAGATCACTGAACCAGAACCCAATTATCTATATTTCTGAATTTTGTCAATTCTAATGAAATAATAGAACTGTCATCCAACAGTGGATAACTGAATAGTCTCTGACATGATTGGACTCTCCTAATCATTTCTCAATAAAACGTCTTGAGTCCATTGCGAAACTAACTATAGGTTTGAATTCAGCAAAGTAACATGATAATATTCACAGTTTGAACAATACTTAAATAGCTTGTTCAAGTTATTTCATGAAAATGATAGTTACCTTAAAGAAAAGTAACAAATCACGTGAAAAGATATACTATTCGGGACTTGACTTGTCATCAAAAGCTGATTTCGTGTATATAAACATGAACTTCTAAAGTTTCTCTGACAAATTTAATCAAACAAAATAGCAAACTGGAAAACAATGTAATTCAAACATCAAAACTATGGATTACAAGTATTTTGTTAATATCTCATTTAAATCTAATTACCAATAATTTATAAGGTGACCATATTGAGTTTAGTTCTGACAAGCTTCTAAATTCACACACTGGTCACATATTTGTTTTTCTCGTTAAACATTCGAATATGAGAGGTGGAGATACATTCAAAACAAGGAAATAAACAGTGACACATTTGACGTCAACAAGAACCAATCAACATCGAGGTCTACAGGACAAGCTTTGAACCAAATGTGAAGAAATTCGAACGCTTCAATTCTATATGAAGTTTGTGCTGATGATATCGTTCAGAAGAACGATAAAAGCTCCAAAACTAAACCATACAGCTTAGAGAACAAAACTCTATCAAAAACATCCGAATTTATTTTTCATACTTTATACTGTAAATGAAAAGGAAAGAAGAAATTACTAAAAAGAATAATTAAGAAAATGACAATCCTAAATTAGTAAATAGGGAACCATTTTGATTTTCTCTGTATTTATTGTCATTATAATGGTCAACTATTTTAATTGCTTATTAGTTCTATGATTAAAACTGAATCGAAAAATAGAAAAAGAAAATTTAGTTTCGTTCGGTTTATTCATCACTAAGCAAATTAAGGCGTGAATTTTAAATTCTATCAAAGAAAATCTTCAACTTTTAGAGCGTAAACCTTTTGAAAAATACGTTTATTTTATTAAACATTCAATATGCCGAATGGTTATTTGAATAAATAATCTTACTAAATACCAAAGGTTTTTTTTATTGACTTTTTGTTTTTCAAATTCTTCATATTCTTAGTGCTTTGTTGAAGTTAGATATTAACACCGTTGGATACCAGCTCAATAGCCTAGAGTTTAAGCATTCAAGCGCGAGATCGATAGACACTGGGTTAGAAATCTCGCGAAGTGGGATCGTGGATGTGCACTGTTGAGGAGTCTCATACTAGAACAAAATGGCCATTCATTGCATTCAGGTTTTCCATGGCGGTTTAGTTTTAATTGACTCATGATCTCAACTAATAAAATATTTGTAATATTCTCTGAAGAAGTGGCTTACACTGAGTCACAAAATGTCAGAAAATCTATTTTTTTTCTACTCATTGAGATATTACAAATATATTAATTTATTAATAACAATCTAACCAATGCTCAGTGTATTCGATGTTATTAGGTCAAGCCTTGGTAATGATACCTATGAGTATAAATGTTTGAAAATTGCAAATATTTTGATGAGTATGACTTATATGATATTGTTATTTATTAGTTATTGATAATACGAATCATTAACGGGTAGAAAACTATTTCAACTTTTTAGTCTATAAAATTATTTGGAAATACCACTTTCAACTTGCAAGGTTGGTCTATCTTTAATTGATTCATGAACTCAACTATTAGATTACATATATAAGACTATGAAAAATTTGACAACTTACTTAAAATAATGAACATTTCTATAATGTATCTTAAAATATCTGTATATATCAGCTGAACATATAAAGATCCTTTGATTGATTATTAATTGAACATTAAATAAACATTCAAAGAATTTACAAAGTGTAATAAAATATATAAATTACAAGATAACAAATAATACCATATTCTAGAGAAGAATTAACGTGACAAGATTTTGTAAGGAAGTTTGACAAACTCATCATTTGCTTTATAAATCAACAACAAATAAGATCTGTGAAAATATGACAAGAATAAGGACTTCAGTAAATGGATCGCTTATCAAAGAATTTATTATCAACGTGTACTATTGTATATATATGTATACATATATACATAAGGAATTTCAGGTATTAATTCTGTGAGAACATGTTAATAATGTACTGATATAATGAGATCACGGAAAGATTGTAATAAAAGATTCTATAGAGTAAATAGTTAAAATAACATGTTGTGTTCGTGCAAATAAGAGGGTGTATAAAATTATTAAACTCACATTGGAATTTAATTTGATTGCAGTAAAATAATTAAAATGTTTTCGTCACATGAATTATAGGTATTAGGAGGGTTCAATGAAATACAATGATATGAGAAACATACACCAGTAAAATGATGTGAATGTGAGAGATACGTGGAGAGAGATGAACATTTTCAGATGCAAAATCAATGCGATGAAATGAAAGTAAAATAGTATTAACAGTAATAATAGTGATACTGCTGCTACTGCTACTAATACCTCCAGTAATAACAATAACAATAATAATAATGATAGTTTAGGACATGGTATAGGCAATGACAAGATATGCTTCTTTTGTTCAGTTAAGATTTCATTTCGAAGATGGGAGTAGCTTCCACTGTCTTAATGAATTGCATGCAAAGAAATGTTAGTTCATCTGGACGAATTCTGTAAACTACATTAAGATCAACTTATGTATTGATGGAGGGTGTAGCGTCGATTAACTGTTGCAGGACAGAACTGCCAACCATCTCCCTATCATCTTAATAGCATCACACTGAAATATGTTCTTATGTTAGAGTTGAAATTATGACATCAGTACGGTCATTGTGCATTTTTCCATAAGAGTAGGTGTATACATTTACAATTGTACAGTTTGTTAACAAATTCAGTGGAAAGTGATCGGTTCATTGACTTACCTGTTTCTCTCTCTCAAATATATATATTACAAATCGTCTAGCAAATAGGTTGATGCAGAAGCGTATTAAGTAAATAAATCCATTTACAATTTTAATACCGGTCTTATTCACTAACATAAATTTGATAACATCAAGGAATTCTCAGTATGACCAAATACGGTGTAGCTTCAAACATCTCTCTTTTATTTATTCTAACCATGGAAACTTAAAGCAATCTATAAATTCACATTAAATATAATTTTTAAACCCTAATTAGTAGAAATTTAAGACAAGTTTCAAATAGACGTTTGTTTTTTTTAATTATCATATAGCATATTTGATACATGAATTGTAGTTTAATCACCTCTCATTTCTTATAAAGATAATAAATGAAAATAAATCAACTTTGATGGAAGTTCCGGTTACATTTCGAACTATTTAAATATATAATGAATTGCAAGAATTTTTTTCTTTCTTCAAATTGTAAGATCACACTAGACTGTTAGAATACATAATGAATAATAAGACCGTAGATTTTATTTCAATATTCATTCTTCTAAAATTAAGCAAATTATTAAAGGGATTATTATGTGTACACAAAATAAGATATACATTATTACAAACAACAGATATACGAGAATAGTATTGTTTTTAATTAAATCCTTGTTAGAATTTATCCTAATATACAATAATATTAATAAGTATACATAAAAATATCAATCTAATCAAAGTAATTTATCAGTTAATGATAACAATAAAATGGATCACATGAATAAACAGAACATATAAATGGTACTAATTGACAATATATTAACAAATATAATAAGGATAATAAACTTTTGAATCAATATTTCATAATAAAATGTAAATTGACAAACTTGAAAAAAATACACAATAAAATAATATTTTATGGGTTTTGTGGATATGATAGTAATTTCAATGGTTAAGCTTATGAGTCAGTTGAAGCTAGACCACCATGGAAAACCTGGAAGCACTGAATGGCCGTTTCGTCCGATTGTGAGACTCCTCAGCAGTGCGCATGCACAAACTCGCCCCCTGTGAGATTCAAACCCAGGACCTACTGATTTCGCGCTCGAGCACTTAACCATTAGACCACTGAGCTGGTTGGCATCCAACGGTGTTAATGTCTTACTTCAACTAATCCACGAAGTGTAGTGACACATCCACCATTGCTGAGGAGTCCCACAATAGGAAGAAATGACCGCCCGGTGCTTCCAGATTTTCCATGGTGGTCTAGCTTCAACTGACTCATAAGCTTAACCATTGAAAATAGTATTTAATAAGAAATTATAAATTTTAGAAAAATGAAAATATTTTTTTTAAAAATTTTAAAATATTTTTGGATGTTTTTAAAGCTTCAATTCTTATTGGTTTTAAAAAAATAAATAAACTCATTGAATGTAATATAAATGTAATTGAACGTAATAATTCTAAACAATGATGTGTTATATCACATATCATTTCATATTCTATATATGTTTCACATACATGTTGACATATATCACATAATGTAATTAAAATTTCTGGTAAACACCAAATAATTAATAATAATGTTAAATAATTTTGTAATGGTTTCATTTGATTTTCATCTTTTGTAATCAGTTTAATTTTATAATGATGTAATATTATTAATATAATGATAATAGTTATCACTATGAATGGTATAATATCACCAAGTATCAATGAAATATAATTGAAAATAATTAATTCTAATCGATCACTATTATTGATTAACATTTTTGAAATAATTATGCATTGACCAGTTTGATCTAATTTAACTAAAAGAATTAAATATAAATTAGAAATTATATTATATACTACTAATAAACAATAAATACCACCTAATAATTTAGGATAATTTAATAAATTTAAATTTGGTATATAAATCGATAAATAATGTTCAATAATCATTGTAATAATTGTTTGTCTAGTAAATGTATTAAATAAATTATTTAAAAATTCACTTGTCCATATATAACAACCTAATATATTGATCCACATTTCTGATGTAATTAAAAAAAATGGACAAAATTTATTACTAATTTGTGAAATACAAACAAATGTATCAAATATTATTTGAATCATAATTAAAATATTTACAAATTGTGATGATGATAATAAATAAGCTTGAAATAATAAAAATAATATAAATTGATTAATCAATATTATATAACATGAAAATATAATAATAATTATATCAATTTTTGTAGGAATATCAGTAATATTTTGATAATGATAAATAAATCCACTTTGATAATCACACATTGATTATAATGTGAAATAATAATTTTTAAAAAAATCAATTAATTGATTAATTGATTGATTAATTAATTGATTGTTTTCTCTCAATTTAAAAAAATTGGTGTGAAGAATTATTTTGTTAGTTTTTCTTTTTTTTTCAAAAAAAGGAGAGGAAAATGATGTAAACACTTATTAAAGTATAGAATGAATTTTGATTTTGTTGTAACGCGAAGTGTGTGACTGCAGGTTATGATACGCAGAGTTTATTTATCGATCGCGATCTGTGACAGTGAACACGTAACTTGTAAGGATGACCTAGTGCCCTGATTGGCCCTGCCTCGCTATCTGTCCCCAGCCAGTTGAGTCAAGAACACAAGCCACAGCCTCGGGAGTATGAATCATTATATTTCAAACATACACTATTTATATACCAAGCAAACAAACCACATCGTACCACAAAGTAGAAAATAACATTGTACAATATTGGCCAACAGGAAAATAACACGTTAAATAAATATCGACCAATGGGAAATGTACATTTAAGGTCCAAGGACACCATTGGACTTAACACCATAATTATTGGTCTATTTTTCCGACTACCTAACAGATTTGGTTTCTATTTTATTTGTCATTCAATACTTCTTTTTGATTGGTTGTTATTTATTGAAGGTTTCCATTGATTGGTGGAATAATAATAATAATAATAATAATAATAATAATAGGTGAAGCGTTCGCGAGCGAGACAGAAGACCCTGTGTTCGAATCCTGCCAGCGGGATCTTGTCTGCGCACTGCTGGGGTGTCGCGCAATAGGACGAAATGGCCGTCCAGTGCTTCCAGGTTTCTAACGGTGATCTAACATCAATCGGTTCATGAACTCAAACAATAATTTAATGGATTGTTTTAATGTCCTAATTGGAATGAATTTTATTGTAAAAAAATTCTAGCTTTTGGTTTATATTGATACCATTAAAAAGAATTATAGATATGAGGTCCAAGTATATTTATAGAAGATTTTGTTATGATCTGGGATCATTCAGAAATCAACTGAAAATTAGAGAGTAAATGATACAGTAAATAAACATAGTGTCGAAGGTTAATTATCTTGGAGTTACATTTTCCTTTAATCTCTCTTGTTTTACTGTTATCGAAGAAAATCTACTGTCTAACTTACTATATAAAGAGGTTGCGTGCTTTTAGGATTATTCGACACTTACTCTTATAATTTGTCAATCCCTGTATATTACCTATTATTCTTTACTGTTCTCCATTATTCTTTTCCGGGCTTTTGAGAAAAAAAGACTTTGCTGTATTGCGGAGAGTGCTGAAGGCAGTTAGCAAGGTATGTGGTGTATCTTTCGAAGTCATAATTAATATGGTTGTGGACAGACATCTAAAGTCATGCAAACTCCTGGCAGGTGTTATTTTATCAGATACTAATCATCCCATTCACTCATATCCTTCTCCTTGTATATCTTCTGATAGAACGAGGCGTAATTACACTCGAATTCTTGCACGCATACAAAAGTATAAAAGTTCTATAATACCTTACCTAGCAAATATACTCTTTGACAAAGAGGTTGATAGAGTCAACCTAGTTAATAACCTGTTGTTATAATTTCCTTTTTACAGTTATGACCCAGCTATTCCTGTTGCTTAGTATTCTCGGACACCGATTCACTCGACAAGTCCCAAATCAGAACACGGTTGAACAGGAAAGAGATTATATTCCAAATAACAATGTTACATGGAAGTAAGAAACAAGTAAGGAAGCACAATACGGAAAACGTTAGCATATTTATACTTTTTACATGAGAAGATTCTAAAGTATTCTCCAAGTATCGACTAGTGCTGATTGAACATTCCACCAAAATATAATATTGAATAAAGCCATTAATAATGATGATAACAATAATAATAATAATAATAATAATAATAATAAAAAATAAATGTTTTGTTGTAGTTTGAGGATATATGATGGGACGCATTGATGACCTCGACAGAGACCAAATCTAGGGTTTCCATGTCTTACAAAAAGGACATTAGCTTCATGTCACTGTTTCAGAATTCACTGATCTTCCTTTCTTATATATGTCAGTATAATATTCCGCGATAATGATATTTCTTTCCATTCACTAAATTCACTTTCACAGTTCAGAATTTTAGATTTTGATTTATGTCATTCATTACAGGATAAATTTTGAACACTGTCTTCAAACGTTTTCACAAGCTTGTTTTAATTAATGGGAGAAATATCACGAGTTTTCCTTTTTAATGCAAATATAACTGAATTAAAAATATTAAAAGTTGACAATTTCGATGCAACATTTGTTATCTCATTCCTAGTGTTGGGATTTGTCGATCAAAGTATATTGTGATAGGTAGTGTAAATAACTCAAGATCATAGTGAACTTTACTGAACATTCGGTAGCTTATCGTAATCGAATGTATTCCGTTGGCTTCAGTTTCTCTCCTAAAATTACTTTGTTTTTTAAGCCCTATTGTCTTAGTATTAACTCTTATAAAGTTGACCGATTTGAATTCTTGGCGATTTTCTTCAAAATTTTAGGATTTGTTCTGCGATAGGTTCCAGTTTGACAAAAGGGTTAATCTCTTTCTATTTGAATAAACTTCAATTCGTAATGGTAGCAATTATCTATTAGTTTTTATCAATAATTTGGTAACCCTATCGGCATTTTTAAACAGTTATATATCACCACTTTTAAAAAATACTCTTTATACAACAGTATAATTGGTTTAACTGGATCTTTTTTGAGCTCAAATCGGTAACAGAACATTCTTAAATATATTGAGTATGACAGTTAAGCCAAATACTAAAAATTTGACTATGTTGTAATAATGATTAACAAGATATTTCATGTAAATTACACAGAGAAACGGGGATATAAAAATAGTGGACACGACGAACACGTATCATAAGATCATGAAATGCAAATGTATATAGTTTGTTAAACTTCAATGTTTTCATACAAGATGTTTCAGTAGATACCTGATTTTAAGATAACTTTGAGGGATAATAGAAAAACCTTATTACGATATAGTATTTGAACAAATTAGTGATTCATTTGCATTTGATTTTCAGATTATGGATTCTAAATATAATACGTTCATTTGTATTCATCTTGTTCTACTTGCCGTAAATCGCACTACTGTGGGAATTCGAATATTTCTAATTATCATACATGCTCTGATGAAACGAACACTTTACGGACTGAATTTGTCTTAGGGTATGCAGAAAGCCTCAATGTGCATGATGAACAATTAATATTCAGGAATTGTCTTACGGTGGTTTTCTGTCCCAGTATATGTATAGTAAACGGTTTCTTTCACAGTGATCGCTTATAACTAGAGCCATGTCTATCAATCGCCTACTCGACTAAGTAATATTTGTAAGACTATTATTTGAAGATGATTAGTCTCACTTAATTATTCAAATACAAATTCTAAATTTAGTAAATGGGATTAAGTATGGCGTAATCGTAGTGCAGGTATAGCCTTTCATTCAGTTGAACTAACTGAATTGCAGGACATTTCAAATATTTTTCTAATTTTTTAGTAGTGTTATTTCAGGCACCATTGATCATTCAGCTAAACTATCGATTAATAAACATTCATCCTTCGTTGTTTATTAATTGATTCGTTGTAAACTTTCTTTGTATTTTGAGCAGTAAAGTGTGAGCAGTCTAATTGTTCCCTTCTCAGTCTCATTAATTTTGTGGAATGAAATGCAAATATATGAACGAAGAATATTTTTTCAAAAATTTCTCATCGGGTTCTGCAATCATAAATGTAAATTAATAATCCATAAAGTTGGCCAGATTTAAGGCACAGTACATCATTTAAAATTGTAATATGAGAACCAAGAATTGTTGTTTGTCATACAAAATGAAATCGTCCATGTGAGGGCTGACTAATATGAAGTGTTAACTTGAATCATTTTACAAGTGAAATGAAATTATGAGATAAATGATCAGAATGAATATGGTCAACATGGGGTAAGTGAGAGAAAAATGGAATGAAAATCAGAATTTGACAGTCTTGGTATCTGGCTGCTTCAAGATATCCTGAACACAAACAAGGAAGATGATAATTATTGAGAGAAGCAATATGTTCGAGCAGACGTAGAGAGTTCAACGTTAAACTATTACATTGACCACTGAGGAAAGAAGAATGTCAAATGAATTTTACCCAGGTATGACCATGATCCTTGACCGAGTGTTGTCACCTAACAATATCTGTTAAAACTAATGTTAGAATAAGCGTCGAAAGTCTCCATAGTTACGCCACACAACAATACAAATAACACGCGAGTATTAACTAATCGACTAGTTTTCCTTTCGGAGTATCAATGAGCCATATATGAAACTTAATATGTTTAGCGAACGAGCAACTCTAAAATATCAATTTAGACTGGCATTAAAATTAATTGACAATCTGTTCTTCCTGCAGAATGACTCCAACTTAACGAAATTGGACTTATTATAAATAATTCAACCACAGAAACTTGTTTCGCAATGTTTGTTTCAAACTAAGATTTTGTTAATGATTTTAGGGGTTTGGTTAACTAATCGGTTGAATAATGTTCTTAGAGTGAATAAGGTGATTGAAGTGACAATTTGTTTAAGAGGTCAATATTTATGTGTATAAATAAATATATTAAAAGTGACTATAACTGTTTGACTGACTAAGCAAATATAGATGGAAGATTAAAACAGCCACTTATCCAAATAATATTTTAAAAAAACAATAGCTAGTCAAACTGATATGGAAATGAAATGAGTATCTTAAAATCACCAACTATTTTTAATTTCTGTCCTTCAGAATACATACTTAATAGACATTACATTTTTGATTGAGATCATGAAGCGATTGATGTTAGACCACCACCTTTGGAAACCTGGAACCATCCACGATCCCGCTCGCAAGATTCGAACCCAGGGCCTCCGGTCTCGCGCGCGAACGCTTAACCATCAACATCAATCGGTTCATGATCTCAATCAAATC